AACGTAACGTTGCGAGAAGAGGTTTCGTGATCGAAGTTTTCGCTGGGGCGGTTCTAAAAAAAGGGTTGATCCCACTTCTGACACCAAGTCTAGCGCTGCGTGCCACGAGAAGCAAGGAACAGACGAGGTATTAACAGCAAGAGAAACTGTATTTCTGCCATGTGCGATCTCCTCACATACACACTCTATGTCCCGGATTCCGGGACCGAGAGGGATCTCGGGACTAGTTTCCAACAAACCCGCCACCTCCGGATTTCAAGTCCGGCGCCCTAACCACTCGGTCAAGCTACCTCCAACAATTCTTAAACATAATGACTGAAAAGGAAATTCTAGTACCAAAACATGACAGGTGAAAAGAATGAAGACGAAAATGATTTTTTTGTAAAATTGGTAACGCTAAAACAGGAGTTCGGTTGCCGTTAGGTTTATCCTATTTTCTAGAATCAAAATCCAATTACATAAACTTTTAGTCGATTTGAACGATGAATTATCTATCGGAAAAGACAAATTCAGTGAAGACGCATGACATTATTTGTCGGCATGAATGCAGCACAAGCTTATAATTAAGAAAATTTCGCCTGTACATGTTATGGTCTTTACCTGACCGAATAATTTGCAGAACAAAACGAAATATTCAATATCAATTTTGTCGATCAAAATGATAACTTTAATTAGCACGGAACATAATTTGTGGTGGTGTTAAATAACCAAACAGAAATTTTTATATATATTCCAATATAATCCTGGGTTATATAGACTGGAAATTTAAATGGGATCGTGAATTTTCAAATACGTTTTGAACCTGACAGACAATGTAACAAAAATTCGCATTAAAATATTCTTTGGCTTGAATCGGTATTATATTAGCCAAAATATATATGCACCCAATTCAAGAAGATTTTTTGAATCATTACTCGACAAGAAATCCAATTTCACAGAAAGGACGTTTATAACATTTCTGATACGCACCCAACTAAATGGCTTTCAACGTCAGGCCTTCCCGCAATATAGCTTTCGTATTTGCTCCTCTGTGAGAACACTGGTTTCTTTCTCTTTGAACATCTGTCTAGTTTCAACGACCGACCGTAATTGATAAGAAACTTTATAACCGATTGTTAATAAACACCTACAAACAATGGGATTCACAACTGCCGGTTTGTGGATAGCATTATTCCAATAATAGTTTATTTGCTGGGGTGTACATCTTCCGATTTTTTAAATTAACAGATGTTTTGGAGTGTGTCGTTAAAAAGAAGATTTTTCTTTTTCTTTTTGATCTCCTAAAAATAATGGCCACAAAACATTGACTCGGGCAAAGCTTAAAAGCCACTGAAGGTGCTACAGAAGTTGGTATAATTTTGGTAACTATGAATTAACCAATCATTGCATTTTCAATTTTTCGTCTCCTCTTATCTAACCTAATTTACTAACCTAACCAAAATAAATCACGAGTTTGTACAAAATCATTTTTCGTTTGGAAGTGGAAATGTGCTGAATCGTCCAAGAGAACACGAGTCCTGGTGCAGCACCCTTAAATATGGTAGGTAAAGTCTGCATACGGGGCAAGCAGCCCATCAGCCCGGAGCTTATCCCGGTTTCTCTAGCATGAAGCGTCTAGGAGTATTTCTCCGGAGGAAAAAAAACATTGGAGGAACAAGAAAACGTATAGCCAATGCACTAATTAACAATTATTCCAGGATGATAGATAGCCACTGATGAGGCGTGTAGCACCAAGTTCGCAATATTCATATCATATCCAGCAAGCGCTAGTGAAATAATTGTTTCATTAAAAATGAACACAAAATATAGACAACTAAAATAAACTAAAATAAAAATAAAAACGCCCCAAAAAATTACGGGTACGCTTACCATATTTGCAGAGCATGGTATAAATTAACCTATGCCATGACGGCTAAGCTAATGAAAACTCTTGAATTACATTATCCAATGTGAATTCTACTAATAATATAAAGAAGGGATTACAGATAAATGCTTCGCACTGTCCTTTAATTTGAGGCTTTGCGAAATCAGAACCTTGCTTTCCTAGGATGTATAAAGCGCGATAAATACTGCATCTTTAACATCTTTGGAAAGACCTTTTGGTAAATTGTTGGAAAATTTTTATGAAGACGAGAAGATCATTATTTCGGCATCGGTATCGATTTGAAATAAATGGGATCGGAAAAAAACAAAAAAAAACAATTGAAATGTACAGTAGGCAATATAATGGATTGTAACGTTAATTAAAATGCCTACAAAAAAAGCAATAAAAAAATTTTAAAATGTATATAAAATTTTAATTTTATTTCAACGTTACTTTTAATTTAATTTTTTTATAATTTTATATTTTAATTTTTTTTATTTTTTTTTATTTTTATGTTATTTGAACCTCCCACATGCAGCAGTTAAGACTATACGTGCCTAGTTTCCTGTCTGAATCTGATGAGAATTTACATTTCAAATCATTTCGTTGACGCATATCTGTATGCATAACATCACCTGTCTGTTTGAAATGACACTGTACTGATATGAACAGAACACTTTAGCAATTAAAGGATTATCGCTAATAACCGCAACTGACACAGGGATTATGGACCGAAAAATAAGGTCCACCGCCCCGCCCACAATTAAAACCTCCATGATTCAAAACACGAACTCGGGGCCTTATTTATGTTTCTTTTTCTTTTTCCTACGTCTCTTTTGAAAGACGAGGCAGTAAAACGAAAAAAAAAAGGCACGTTTTCTCAGAACCAGGAGAGGTCTTAAATTGTTTATGTTTGTCACCGCCAAGGATGGCAATGTTGGTCCAATGCCAGCCCAATGTTGCTCCAATATTGAACAAACTGGTCTATTATGTTTTTGTCATTAAAACACATACAAAAAAGTCAATAAAATACATTGTTGTCAAATAAATTACTTGTTTTGCTGTGTTCTCAACACGTTATGCATTTGTGGGCTGTTTCCAAGAAACCGGTTTTTAGTCTTATGACTGGATAAAAAGGTTGTGCACAAGAAAACGTGATGTATGCCTGGAGAGCTTAGCATGTCAAAAAAACTCTTTTCTCTTTCGTGGAATAAACCTAAGTGCAAAGTAATATACTGAAAATAATCAATGTGATGAAGACGAAAAGGATGTTTTTTTAAAATGGGCTGTCGGACTTTCCCCAAACGTCTTAATTAAAATTAACAGCTTTGTCATCAGTAAGGTTCACACGATTTATGACATTAAAGTTCAGACAATATGTCAAAACCAACAGTACCGAACAACAAATAATGAAACTAATTTTAGTCATCGATATAATATTGCAGCAATTGCAGCAATAAAATGAAGCTATTTTAAGTTGTTGTATAGCGGAAATTTAAATATCTTCCTCTGTTTTAATGAAAACGCAAGTACTCATTAACAGAATCGACGATTGGCGGAGCTTTCTGTTGAAGGTTAATTAAAGGGGGAAATAAATTTAACTTGACAGGATCGGTTTTGTTCTAACTTTTTACAACAGACATGATATTGCACAAGTTTAATGAAAAGAAAATCTTTAGGCGATATTGCCATTTGAACTGAAATATTTCCGGATTTATCAGAGAGGAAAAACGAAAGAATAGATTTCCAATTTTCATTCCAAATTCGAATAACTCTAATTAATTAGCTGGCAACTAGTAAAATCTTATTTTATTTTTCTTATAATTAATTTTAGGTAAGGTACGTGACGAATAACAGCAACGTTGTTCTGAATCTTTTGTTATTTCGCTTCTGTGCTGAAATAAATTTTTTGTTTTGAAGAAAAATTTACACGACACAAAAATTGCTTAAGTTAAGAATTATTATTAAGAAATCAAAATCAAGATCACGGTTGCCTTTTGAACAATGCCTGAGTACGTAGTGTACCCGGCTTGAAGACGTTTACAATTGCTTAAAAAAATCGCTCGATTTTATCTGAATTATACGGGGTGAAACATACCTTGTACAAATTTTGCCAACGTAGGAGGACTTCTTGTCGTTGAAGGCTTTTCTCAGTCGGTTTCCGTGATGTTTAAGCTTTCCATGTTTATTTTTGAGTCGACGAAACTTCTCTCTCAGATCAACATCCACCCAGCTCCAATGACCAACTAAAGTAGGAAACTATCAAGTAATGATATATAAACGCCAAAGTACAGAAAACGCTATTATCGGGTAGGCCGCTGATTGGAAAGAACATGCAGCGCATTTAAGGCGCCAGTTACGAACAGAGCCCCGCGATCTCAATCGCTTGCGAGATTTTACATCCATTTTCTTATCGCCTTAGGTCATCTAATCTATAAAACGTACCGCGGAAATGGTTTTTCCCAGTTTACTACTACAAGCGCTGCCATATTCACTTCTGTGCACGCAACATTTTGTTTTAATAGCTCCGACTTACTCCATCGTCTCGGCATCGACCAGAAATCAATCAAACATTGCATTACAAGGCGAAACACAGTTGAAGCGAGGCTGAGAGATTCACATTTTACGAAAAAGCTTAATACTTTTAATCCCCGAAGAAAAAATATTTTTCCCTTTAAAAACAGGTGAAATAATTTACAACCCGTTTATCAAACAAAAGACGGAGACTCTTTTACGATTCTTTAGTGTATGTGACACGACAAAATTCAAAATTCGGCTCATTCATCTTCCAGGCATTGTTCATGCACTCGTTTTTTTTATTTTTTCGAAGCAGCTGTCATGAAAATATCGTCATAAAAAGGAGACAACTATGAAACATGGCTTGATAACAATAAAAGGCTGGGAGATTAAGTAACCACCATTTGTCAAATGGAACAACTTCTTAACCAATCAGCGTTCAGCAGTTAAGAAATTTACTTCTTTATATTCCGCAATGCGGCTTGGTTTTTTACCTTTATTGCCACCGTGAAGTCTGGGATTTTCATCTGTTAAATCTCTTAAACCTAAACACACAGAACGTATTGCTTTCTTTCAGTCCCTGAATGTCAGTAAAGAAAAAAACGTAATTCCAAGACTTTTATCCCAAAATCAGCTATTTACTCCGCCAAATCATTAAAGCAATTTTTGATTGCTGCAATCAAATTATTCTGCCAGAAATCCTTCCAACATCGATGTCGGTGAACGCAATCAATTGAACTAATGACGAAGCTTAGAGAAAGGACCAATCGTGAGTCAGCATTTGTCCAGGGGAACTTTCCTTTTTTTTTTTACTTGCATAAACCATTTTGAACTGAATGACGCGCAGGCTATCAGCGAGGTAATTCCTGATGATGTAACAGAAACGATAAACTTTGAAATCGAGTTAACCAATCACCCAAAATAATGCGCTTAATAAACTGCGGTTTTCGGGAAAGAAAACATAAATTTGATAACAGATATACTGTGCCAATATTTGAGTAATGGACATTACAAGCTTTTCCGTGCTTCCAAGAGTTATGGAAACACAAGTGGGAGTTTTGGAGCACGAGAAATGCTGTGGGAACACGGAACTTAGACAAAAATTGCTTTTTTGGAGGTCTCCCAAATTTCCACGAGTTTCTCAATAACTCGATACAAAATGGATAAAATAGTTGTTTTTCCTCTAGAGAGAAAAAAGCGATAGCGGTGGCACTTGTTTGTTGCAATTGCTAAAAATTTCAAAATTCTCTTTGCGTGTGTGATCATCACGTCAAAGCCAGTGGTATTGCTTTTATGGAGTGAAGAAATACGATGAGAGACCGGGGCAGACTTGGAAATGGGGGTCGGCCGATTTTCCTCAAAAATCCACACACAAAGTCCATATGCCGCTGACTTATAAATGCTAAAATTTCAGCTTCCTTGATCATTTTCCACCTGATTTTCCATTTATCAAATTGATTTGAATTTTTAATAAAATGAAACTCATTCTAGTGATAAACAATGTACAAACCTATATTTGACAGTTTCAAATAGGAATTACCTTAATTTATCACGAAAATCGATGGGAATGTATTTATGTTGACACCCTCAGTAAAGGGCCTTTAGGACGTTTTTGCGTCAATCTTAGTAATTTTTCTAGATATTACTACAATAAGGGTTAGTAAAACACCAACCTATTGCAAAAACTATAAATGTAGACGTTTAGTGCGATCGCCTGGGTGATAGTAGTTCTGAAAAGAACTGTTTTTGGTGACTGACGTTTCGTCAATCTTAGCAGAAGTCATCTTCAGAGTCGAGTGAATAGTGTTTGTCAGTCTATTGTGTTATAAGTCTCGTTCGTTCAGTTTGGCGAAACGTCAGTCACCAACAACAGTTTTTTTCAGAACTACCGTCACCCGGACAATCACACAGGACGAACTACCTAATACCCATTTACTATGAAATGCAGACATGTTAAGAGACAATAAGTCCGTCCGTTATGCATCTCGTTGGAGCTGTACTCATAAGCTGTCCTCATGTCCACATCTAAACCTAAAACCTAACTTGAGCTAACCCTAAGCCTAGGTAGCTGCTAACCCTAATTTCTTTACAGCATTTTATTTGAGATTTCAGGATATTCCCCTCACCTATTCCATGGGACTACACGATGCGCAAGGGAATTAGTTTCCAGCAGACTCTCCGTGCAGTGAATTGTAACCCTGATTTTCTAAAAGACGTCTGTGCGCTCTGATTTCCGACCATTTCCCTCACCTATCCCATGATTGGGACGCCTGTGTAGCAAGAGTTCCCTTTCTGCATTCTGACCGCGCGTAAATTGGAGCTAGAGCAAAAATTAGACGAAGCAGGGAGTGGTGGGGCGAGCTGAGTTTTTGGTCTCATTTAAATTTACGCGCGGTCAGAATGCGGAAAAGCTCTTCCTAAGGGAACGCTTGCTACGCAGGCTAATGAATGGGAAAAATCGACAAGTAATTGTTTTTGTGAAACTTCAGCAACCCCTAACCCTAGGCGCTAACCCTAATTTTCTATAACACGTTTGCGCCATGAGATTTCTGGGCATTCCCCATATCTATCCCAGAGGGATAGTCGATGCGCAGGGAAATTCCTTTCATTCACCTTCTCAGTGGCGAAAATTCTATTCTAACTCTAAGACCTAAACCCTGACCCTAACCCTAATGTACATTCGCGGAACACAAACTGACTATATGTAATATTTATGTAACCTAAAAGACCAAACTATTGGAAAATATGTATGTATAAATGCATGTTATGTGGCAATAACTAGGAGCTGTTCGCATCTTGACAAATCCCATGATACCTAGAGGGTCTCAATTTAATGATGTCTTTCATGGCTAATGGCTAACTTACAACAACAACAACTGGCTTTATTTGCATAACCATAAGAGCACTACTGTGTTACAAAAGCTTTTGTAAACTTAAGCTGAAACAGTAATGATTATCGTGAACATGTAATAAAGTTATGATATAGCAATCAAGTTACATCGGTAACATTTGAAAGAGGAATATTGCTTCGATCAAAGCAAGATGAAATGAATTTTGCTAATAGAATATTAACATAATGATTTGTAGAAGTCATAAGAAAAGTTGGAACTTACCGATGACTTACTTTCCTTACGGTTAACAGATGTCTTTAATTAATAATTAACTTTTATTTTAAAAAAAAAAGAAAGTCGAACGACTTTATTGATGACTTTAAAACATTTTATGGTCTTAGAAGCATTCCAGGAAGAAAAATGGTTTTATTATGAGAATTGTTGAGTAATATAGCTTACAAGCCACAAGACAAGACACAAAAAACGTCTTGAGTAGAGATCTTGAGAGTTTCACTTTCGAGGCTAAACTCTCAACTAGGAGACTGTCGCTCATGAAATTCGTGATGACGGAGCCTCTGCCGCGCCCCTAAACATCAAAAATGGACGTCATTGAACAACCTCGTTCCAGGGCTTCTCACCTTACCGAAAGAGCGGAAAGAGGAGAGATCGGGTTGCTCTTTGAACTGATGATGTCATAATTCCTATTTGTTTTTTCTATTAGGAAAAACCTTCCAACCACTGGATAGCCGAGCAGATTAATGAACTCTCGTGAATATTCAAGAACTCACCAGAAGTTTTAAACATCACGCAATGCATGTCACGAAGTCCAGATCACGTGATACGTCTGTACTTTATTCACGCAACAGGTTTAAAACGTTAAGAAATTCATGAATATTCACCAATAATAAGCAACAGACAGGGAAAACTCCAATAATCAAGAGAACATTTCTTTTGCGGCCGAACTCAAACAAACAAGGGAATTACGTCATCACTTTCCATCAAGCTTGTTTCTGGATATTGGCGTGACACACGGTCACGAAATTAAAATCACGACACTTTGATTGAGTTATTCTTCTTCTTTTAATAGTTTTACCCTATTAACTCTTAACTAAAACCTTTTTTCCCTTTGTTGTTGAAGTAATGTTTCAATTTTCAAATATATGTTGTAATCGTATATCATTTATCTTTACAAGATAACCAAGGGTAATGGAACTGACTAATAAAACTTATCCCTGAACCTAGTGTTGACGATGAAAACCTTGTTAGAAGCTGTGAGAATTATGACGTCAAGCATGCTATTTATGGCTATTATGCGCGGCAAGGTCACGATTATCCAGACCAAGAAATGTCTATATATGTAAATAACTGAAACTACTGGATGTTTGACGTCATCATTTTTCTCACGCATGAACTGTAGCCACAGGCTGCCCAAGCTTTTGTCGAGAGTGTTACTTTGGATTTGTCATAGCCAGAAAAATTGTCGTATTTTAGATTAAAGTCCTTAGCAGTGGGATCACGAAAACCGTTTAAAACCACCACTACAAGGTCCCAGACTCGCAACAGGATACAAACATGGCAAAATTAAGTTTATTTTAATCTTGTCGCTTCGGTCGTTCGTAAAACCGATTTGCGCTAATCTGGGGTTAAGAGTCACTAGGTTTTAATTTCAGTCCGTTTCAGAAGCGCCCGTTCAATTTCCGCTAATTTAAGGGACGATTGGAGATAGTCCAAAGTGAAAACTGCTGAGCCGACGGTACGGAAATTAAGAGAGATGAGTTTTTCTTTTCTGGTCTTTTCTGAGGGAAATAATTGTTGGTGTTTCATAAATGACTTAACTCGAAGTTAACGTTTAACATGACCCTATGTTGGACAATCGGTCCTTAAGTAATTGGCCAAAATATGCTCGACTTTCTCAGTTACAGCAAGTCCGATATACATTCTTGTAGTTCTTAGCGGTCAACCCGTTGTCATATTACTGCTCGTGACTTGAGCGTGGGTCGTCTGTATATTGTCAAGCACCAAGAGAGTCTCTCTATCACCACGGTTTAGTGGGTGATTCCCGTAAGTAAAATATTTTACTACTCAAAATTCGATGAAAGGACAGGTGAAGAAAAAACGTTTAAGGTGTTTAAGCTTTACTTGATCTTTTGACCGTGCCGATATCTTTTATCGCGTATACAATAATACCCCACGATTATTTACTCAACTGCATTCAGTGCAATAGAGCTACCGCGAGAGACAAGCACAAGTGCTTTCTCACGCTACTTGCACTCTAGCAGACCGGTATAACAGGTTATTGTTAATCCCCGCATTCCGACCTCCGCGTGAGACCGACGAGAAGGGTTCACAACCAGGATTTCGGAAAAGTAAATATTTGAGGTTACAAAATTATTGTTAGAGTGAAGCATGCAGCACAGCTGAAATAACGGCTGCTCATTTGCATTATGACTTGATATACGTACAGCCTCCCCATAGAGCTGCAATATAACTGCTCAGTTCTCAAAAATATTTATTGCAATACCCCGGGTTTGTAANCCACCGTGAAGTCTGGGATTTTCATCTGTTAAATCTCTTAAACCTAAACACACAGAACGTATTGCTTTCTTTCAGTCCCTGAATGTCAGTAAAGAAAAAAACGTAATTCCAAGACTTTTATCCCAAAATCAGCTATTTACTCCGCCAAATCATTAAAGCAATTTTTGATTGCTGCAATCAAATTATTCTGCCAGAAATCCTTCCAACATCGATGTCGGTGAACGCAATCAATTGAACTAATGACGAAGCTTAGAGAAAGGACCAATCGTGAGTCAGCATTTGTCCAGGGGAACTTTCCTTTTTTTTTTTACTTGCATAAACCATTTTGAACTGAATGACGCGCAGGCTATCAGCGAGGTAATTCCTGATGATGTAACAGAAACGATAAACTTTGAAATCGAGTTAACCAATCACCCAAAATAATGCGCTTAATAAACTGCGGTTTTCGGGAAAGAAAACATAAATTTGATAACAGATATACTGTGCCAATATTTGAGTAATGGACATTACAAGCTTTTCCGTGCTTCCAAGAGTTATGGAAACACAAGTGGGAGTTTTGGAGCACGAGAAATGCTGTGGGAACACGGAACTTAGACAAAAATTGCTTTTTTGGAGGTCTCCCAAATTTCCACGAGTTTCTCAATAACTCGATACAAAATGGATAAAATAGTTGTTTTTCCTCTAGAGAGAAAAAAGCGATAGCGGTGGCACTTGTTTGTTGCAATTGCTAAAAATTTCAAAATTCTCTTTGCGTGTGTGATCATCACGTCAAAGCCAGTGGTATTGCTTTTATGGAGTGAAGAAATACGATGAGAGACCGGGGCAGACTTGGAAATGGGGGTCGGCCGATTTTCCTCAAAAATCCACACACAAAGTCCATATGCCGCTGACTTATAAATGCTAAAATTTCAGCTTCCTTGATCATTTTCCACCTGATTTTCCATTTATCAAATTGATTTGAATTTTTAATAAAATGAAACTCATTCTAGTGATAAACAATGTACAAACCTATATTTGACAGTTTCAAATAGGAATTACCTTAATTTATCACGAAAATCGATGGGAATGTATTTATGTTGACACCCTCAGTAAAGGGCCTTTAGGACGTTTTTGCGTCAATCTTAGTAATTTTTCTAGATATTACTACAATAAGGGTTAGTAAAACACCAACCTATTGCAAAAACTATAAATGTAGACGTTTAGTGCGATCGCCTGGGTGATAGTAGTTCTGAAAAGAACTGTTTTTGGTGACTGACGTTTCGTCAATCTTAGCAGAAGTCATCTTCAGAGTCGAGTGAATAGTGTTTGTCAGTCTATTGTGTTATAAGTCTCGTTCGTTCAGTTTGGCGAAACGTCAGTCACCAACAACAGTTTTTTTCAGAACTACCGTCACCCGGACAATCACACAGGACGAACTACCTAATACCCATTTACTATGAAATGCAGACATGTTAAGAGACAATAAGTCCGTCCGTTATGCATCTCGTTGGAGCTGTACTCATAAGCTGTCCTCATGTCCACATCTAAACCTAAAACCTAACTTGAGCTAACCCTAAGCCTAGGTAGCTGCTAACCCTAATTTCTTTACAGCATTTTATTTGAGATTTCAGGATATTCCCCTCACCTATTCCATGGGACTACACGATGCGCAAGGGAATTAGTTTCCAGCAGACTCTCCGTGCAGTGAATTGTAACCCTGATTTTCTAAAAGACGTCTGTGCGCTCTGATTTCCGACCATTTCCCTCACCTATCCCATGATTGGGACGCCTGTGTAGCAAGAGTTCCCTTTCTGCATTCTGACCGCGCGTAAATTGGAGCTAGAGCAAAAATTAGACGAAGCAGGGAGTGGTGGGGCGAGCTGAGTTTTTGGTCTCATTTAAATTTACGCGCGGTCAGAATGCGGAAAAGCTCTTCCTAAGGGAACGCTTGCTACGCAGGCTAATGAATGGGAAAAATCGACAAGTAATTGTTTTTGTGAAACTTCAGCAACCCCTAACCCTAGGCGCTAACCCTAATTTTCTATAACACGTTTGCGCCATGAGATTTCTGGGCATTCCCCATATCTATCCCAGAGGGATAGTCGATGCGCAGGGAAATTCCTTTCATTCACCTTCTCAGTGGCGAAAATTCTATTCTAACTCTAAGACCTAAACCCTGACCCTAACCCTAATGTACATTCGCGGAACACAAACTGACTATATGTAATATTTATGTAACCTAAAAGACCAAACTATTGGAAAATATGTATGTATAAATGCATGTTATGTGGCAATAACTAGGAGCTGTTCGCATCTTGACAAATCCCATGATACCTAGAGGGTCTCAATTTAATGATGTCTTTCATGGCTAATGGCTAACTTACAACAACAACAACTGGCTTTATTTGCATAACCATAAGAGCACTACTGTGTTACAAAAGCTTTTGTAAACTTAAGCTGAAACAGTAATGATTATCGTGAACATGTAATAAAGTTATGATATAGCAATCAAGTTACATCGGTAACATTTGAAAGAGGAATATTGCTTCGATCAAAGCAAGATGAAATGAATTTTGCTAATAGAATATTAACATAATGATTTGTAGAAGTCATAAGAAAAGTTGGAACTTACCGATGACTTACTTTCCTTACGGTTAACAGATGTCTTTAATTAATAATTAACTTTTATTTTAAAAAAAAAAGAAAGTCGAACGACTTTATTGATGACTTTAAAACATTTTATGGTCTTAGAAGCATTCCAGGAAGAAAAATGGTTTTATTATGAGAATTGTTGAGTAATATAGCTTACAAGCCACAAGACAAGACACAAAAAACGTCTTGAGTAGAGATCTTGAGAGTTTCACTTTCGAGGCTAAACTCTCAACTAGGAGACTGTCGCTCATGAAATTCGTGATGACGGAGCCTCTGCCGCGCCCCTAAACATCAAAAATGGACGTCATTGAACAACCTCGTTCCAGGGCTTCTCACCTTACCGAAAGAGCGGAAAGAGGAGAGATCGGGTTGCTCTTTGAACTGATGATGTCATAATTCCTATTTGTTTTTTCTATTAGGAAAAACCTTCCAACCACTGGATAGCCGAGCAGATTAATGAACTCTCGTGAATATTCAAGAACTCACCAGAAGTTTTAAACATCACGCAATGCATGTCACGAAGTCCAGATCACGTGATACGTCTGTACTTTATTCACGCAACAGGTTTAAAACGTTAAGAAATTCATGAATATTCACCAATAATAAGCAACAGACAGGGAAAACTCCAATAATCAAGAGAACATTTCTTTTGCGGCCGAACTCAAACAAACAAGGGAATTACGTCATCACTTTCCATCAAGCTTGTTTCTGGATATTGGCGTGACACACGGTCACGAAATTAAAATCACGACACTTTGATTGAGTTATTCTTCTTCTTTTAATAGTTTTACCCTATTAACTCTTAACTAAAACCTTTTTTCCCTTTGTTGTTGAAGTAATGTTTCAATTTTCAAATATATGTTGTAATCGTATATCATTTATCTTTACAAGATAACCAAGGGTAATGGAACTGACTAATAAAACTTATCCCTGAACCTAGTGTTGACGATGAAAACCTTGTTAGAAGCTGTGAGAATTATGACGTCAAGCATGCTATTTATGGCTATTATGCGCGGCAAGGTCACGATTATCCAGACCAAGAAATGTCTATATATGTAAATAACTGAAACTACTGGATGTTTGACGTCATCATTTTTCTCACGCATGAACTGTAGCCACAGGCTGCCCAAGCTTTTGTCGAGAGTGTTACTTTGGATTTGTCATAGCCAGAAAAATTGTCGTATTTTAGATTAAAGTCCTTAGCAGTGGGATCACGAAAACCGTTTAAAACCACCACTACAAGGTCCCAGACTCGCAACAGGATACAAACATGGCAAAATTAAGTTTATTTTAATCTTGTCGCTTCGGTCGTTCGTAAAACCGATTTGCGCTAATCTGGGGTTAAGAGTCACTAGGTTTTAATTTCAGTCCGTTTCAGAAGCGCCCGTTCAATTTCCGCTAATTTAAGGGACGATTGGAGATAGTCCAAAGTGAAAACTGCTGAGCCGACGGTACGGAAATTAAGAGAGATGAGTTTTTCTTTTCTGGTCTTTTCTGAGGGAAATAATTGTTGGTGTTTCATAAATGACTTAACTCGAAGTTAACGTTTAACATGACCCTATGTTGGACAATCGGTCCTTAAGTAATTGGCCAAAATATGCTCGACTTTCTCAGTACAGCAAGTCCGATATACATTCTTGTAGTTCTTAGCGGTCAACCCGTTGTCATATTACTGCTCGTGACTTGAGCGTGGGTCGTCTGTATATTGTCAAGCACCAAGAGAGTCTCTCTATCACCACGGTTTAGTGGGTGATTCCCGTAAGTAAAATATTTTACTACTCAAAATTCGATGAAAGGACAGGTGAAGAAAAAACGTTTAAGGTGTTTAAGCTTTACTTGATCTTTTGACCGTGCCGATATCTTTTATCGCGTATACAATAATACCCCACGATTATTTACTCAACTGCATTCAGTGCAATAGAGCTACCGCGAGAGACAAGCACAAGTGCTTTCTCACGCTACTTGCACTCTAGCAGACCGGTATAACAGGTTATTGTTAATCCCCGCATTCCGACCTCCGCGTGAGACCGACGAGAAGGGTTCACAACCAGGATTTCGGAAAAGTAAATATTTGAGGTTACAAAATTATTGTTAGAGTGAAGCATGCAGCACAGCTGAAATAACGGCTGCTCATTTGCATTATGACTTGATATACGTACAGCCTCCCCATAGAGCTGCAATATAACTGCTCAGTTCTCAAAAATATTTATTGCAATACCCCGGGTTTGTAATAAGATATATACACTTACTGTGAAAACATATCAAGTACCATTTGCATAGTGCCGATGTGAAAAAAGATTGTATCACTGAGTCAGTAAGCCACTTACATCAGAAAACTTGATTCAGTAGTGCAACCTTGAATAGTTACTGGAAATCATCAATGATACGATATCTTTTAAGTGAAAAATCTCAAAATGCAATCATTGGTCCAGCAGGTAAACCTTTGAAGGGGGCGTATAGGCATACGACAAAAGAACGGAACCACAATGGCTGAGTAAAAGTGTGTTCTTATTTCTTGCTATGACAAACGACTCATTAGGCTCATGTTAATGGAGCGTTATCTTTGATGTCGGTAGAAGCGGAAGCGAAATGTAAAATAGTTTCTTTTTTTTTTAAGACCGGACACTTCAGTAAAAGCATTTTGAAGCCAGTGTGTTTGTTGTTATTGTGTGGCTTGAACTGTACGGCCAGGTGTTAGCGGCGCATGAGTCGTAACGTACAGTACTGATTTGTTGTTAATTGCATTAGATTAGGAGCGCGCCCCAAGGGATACATTTGTATATGGCGGCTTTATTGACTCTTAGTAATCACGATAATTGTGCAGTGACTTTACACCTTGAGCACGAAAGCGAAAAAACGTCAGTGAATTATCCATAAAGATCACAAAATCAAAAATTAAGAGCACATAACATCAGTTAAGCGTTTTGTGGACTCAAATTTCGATTTCCTGCGTCATGAAACGAGTGACTGGTTTTTGGCACCAGTCACCACAAAATATAACAATTAACGACATGGACCATGTATGGCTTCGTATTTTAAACTTAAAGGTAAGGAATTATAAGAAAAAAAAAAAGAAAAAGGAGTAAATATTCAAGACAAGCAGAGTTCTCTGCTCGAAGATTTCATTTTTCTGAGAATATTCTAGGGTTTTCCGCTCCCACTACTCATTTCACCGTGGGATGACATGGTGTCATTTTTAATTGTGGTAATTATACACCGGGCAGTAGATTTGCTACCGTATTGTTCTAAGTCACTCACCGAAAGCGGATTTTTTTTTACGTGGACTGAGTAGGCGCGTATATAAAAAGTAACAAACAAAATATTTGTTCATTCGGGAACGATTCGAAACCAAGTATTGGTGAGCTCTTTGATTGCAGTCTAGATGTTTGTGGAATTTCAAGGCATGCAGAGGTTCTTCCTCTATACGACACTCGTTTTTGTGTTCACCGTCGGATGGCTCTTAAAGATTGTCCCTTTTTTCAAGTCGTTCGTCAGCATTGCTATGTGCAAAATGACAGACACTTCCTTGCCAACGGAACTTTACTGGGATTCGCTGTTTACCTGGAAAATGCTTCAGAATGTTTATCATTGCGTGCTCGCTGACAAGAATAAGAAAGTCAAACTGCACGGCAAGGCCTACAACTCTCCAGTCGTGTCGGTCGATGGAAAACGTTGCCACCGGCTTCTGGACTTTGCAAGGGGCAGCCGACCTCTGGTGCTTAATTTCGGGAGCTCAACCTGCCCAGTGTTCATGCAAATGTTGAAAAGGTACCAACAATTAAAGAACGACTTTGCAGAGGTGGCCGATTTTGCTGTGGTCTACATCGAAGAGGCACATCCAGTAGATGGCTGGGCATTTAAGGTAACAAAAAATACTTTCCTTTTTACCGTGTGCAGCTCATTGTGCTCATGTCTATTTTTAACATGTAAATGCACTTTAAATAATTTGCTGGCCTGCACAGATGAGATCGATGTAAACAACTTTGTTGTCAAGCGGTGGCCATCGACCAAACTTGGAGAAGTGCCACAAACTCGACACAGTGCCGTTAGAGCTGACTAAACAAACTCCAGACAATTAGATGAAAATTAAAATAAAAGAGCCAAATGATTATACTGCTCTTGTTTTTATCTTAATCAGGGGATCAGTGACATTCCAATGCACCGTACACAACTTGAGAGATGTAAGGCCGCTCAGAAGATGACAACATCCGTCGACCTTTCTGGTTGTATTGTGGCGGTGGATTCCATGTTAAACGCGGCAAATATCGCCTACGGTGCTGTGCCAATTCGACTGTACATCGTGCAAAACAGTGAAATTGCCTACGAGGGTGGCCCAGGGCCCATGAAATACCGAATGCAAGAGGTGAAGACATGGTTGGACCGAGCAAAGTTACTACAACAATGACGTTGTGTTTAAAATGTTGCGAGAGACTGACAGAGAAAACTGGTGTTAAGTTTCTCCTTTGCCGATAAGAGAGGAATCTTTGCGTAAGAGAAGAAATACCACAGAAGGGTTCAGACTGTCCAAAGCAAAAACTGATATGGCAATCAAATCAAAAAGATATATCAAGAGGACACTCCGGCATGGTTCAAAGACTAGAGAAACTAACCCTGGCCTTGCCAAGCCGTCAGGCGTTTCCGGCTCTGGTTATAAGCCTACATTGAAATCCCGGATCAGGAGTAACAAGATGAAAATGGATTTTGCTCTAGTGATAAATTAATTAAACCTTGAAAAACTTTAAGAAGGCGGGCATACTCGAGTCAATGCCCTTTGGAAACTTTAGTGAAGCATACCATGTCCACAACATATACTTAGTTCTGACAGCGAAAGACGATAATTTAGTTAACAATTTCTAGTAAGAATGGGTAGCATAAGTGCTTTTCACGTTCTCATCTTTGACGGAAAAGTAATTAAAAAAAGGAAACTTCAGTGTTTGATCCACATTCCTTCGCATTAATAACCATTATATAGATCACATATTATATATTCTTCTTTTCAGACTCCTATCGTTTATTGTTTGAAACATGTGAATATGGTAGTAGTGCCTGTATTTTTTGTTACTGAATAGACTTCTCACCATTTGTATATACGTCTTCGCATCCAATTTGTATATACGTCAGCAGCGTGTAGCTACGTAAACAAATAGTCTTTAGGGTTCTCTAATCATAGACTAACTCAGCGAAATCTTACGTTTTTTTGTCACTGAGTATCAGAACTGCTTTCTCTAAATACATTTACGTCTAATGTCTCAGTCAAGTAATTCTTGTGGGATCTTTATTCAGTGATCAAAGCCACCGTTTTCGAAATATCTTTGCAAGATCTAACCACAAAAGCAAAGCACTTCCTATTAAATCAGTAAGCAATTACTGAATTAACGTTTGACACTGGGCAGGGGTCTTCATCTGGCCTGCAAAAGATGTTCATTTAACATGTGTACATGTGTATTGTGTATTAGTACAAGTTGATCAAGTAATAGCAGAGGGTACCAAATGGGGCATTTTACGTTTTTGACACGTTCGCACGAATTTTAACCTTGTTCGCGTATCGCATATGCTTTTAGCTACTTCTAACAAGCACGTGTCTGTTAGTTGCTATCCATCGTGTCCACGAGTCACACACTTATTTTGGCCCTCATCACGTGCCACCCTCATAAAAGAGTGCGATTGCTGTGAAAGATATTAACTTGTCTTTTTGGTCCATTTGCACCAAATGCGCAGAAGACAAAGAGGTTTGTCAGGCTTGGAATGTAAGAACAACAAAACGGTTTCTTGGGTACCCGTCGATGCATAACCTTTGCTGACTGCTGTTTTGCTCCGGATGGGCAACACAATCGTAAACCATTGAAATCAGCTCCTTCTTCAAATGTCTTTGCTGCTGTTAATAACGCATTATATTTAATCTTTTTGTGGTATTGGCTTATATATCAATAAGCTATTTCCTACGCTAAAAGGCTATTAAGGTTTTACTAAACACCGGCATCTGGGCGATATGTTTTTGAAAGGACATTCCAGCTGGTTAGTCAAGTTTAACGTGTTGATACAATTACCTGGAATGAACGCCTACGCAATGTTTGTTGGTGTGAAAAAAACTGGACAACATTTACAAACTCTGCAATTTCATTAGTTCTCTTTCCCTTCAGCTTCTCTCTTCTCCTATCAAAATACACTCTTTAGACCAGCAACAACTTCAACGACTTCAAAGCGGTGTCCATTTTCAGGGGACTGTGCAACTTATTGGGTCCAGTTCTGTCATTCCGCGCAAAAATTTTCCATAAGCATGGAAACAAAATTTTCTTCAACCTTGATACTCTTCATTTCTAGCGATGTCGAGAACAGTTTCACATAGTAACCCTAACATTGGCAGCTTGTTGATATTGAAATGTGGGTGGCCATCCTGCGTGCTGACACTACAATTTTCTTTTTGTTGATAGTGTTCAACACATGATCAGTAGTGCATTTATGGTAACAGGCGTGTATGATACCCGCAAAATATTACTTTATTCCTTTACGGAAAAAGAGAATTTAGACGTATCGCTTCGGAACTGCGGCGGAAAGAAATTATTGGGCAAAAAAAAGGTTTCTGAAACCGTGTCTCTGAAAGGTTTTGTCTTTTGACGCTATTATCCTGGCCCAGTCAGTTACTCATCCCAGGAGCCCAGTTTGTCCTTAATCCTACAAGCCGGAATACTTAGCTGTTGTAATACCTCTCGAGAAACTGTCTGAAAGGGGAGATGAGGACTTCGTGGCTACTTTAGAGCATTTTTGAGTGTTTCGAGTATGCGAGTCCCGGATGGCGCTCTTTTTCACTTATAATATGGGAGAGCCTATCCATAGAGAAACAACGCAGCAGCTTTATACATATAGTCGACAACTTTCGACCCCCAGTGGTCTGGAACTATCATGTATATGCTATAGAAGACTCGTGAGTCACGAGCTCGAGTAAAACGATTTGCCAAAAAAAAACAACTCATCCGGCCTTTCCTAAATATTGTGTCAAATCATTTATCCGTTTCAGTAAATAAGAGAGAGCAAATAGGTTAAGTTTGTGAAATATTCAGATATCAAACTGAAGATAGTTGTGCAAGAGTTTACAATTGGATCTGGAGCAAAGCGGTTTGACAATAATATAACACTAGTACTAATCTCGGACAAACCACAAGTTTTTTAATCCAACAAAGAGTTACTTAGACCAATGTCGGTATGTCTAATCAAGGAGCACGGAATCTCTAGATCTAAAGAAAATCCGGGGATATATAAGTGGTACGGCCCTTAAAGTATGCACATACCAAACCATCAGAGCTTTTTTTACGTGAATAGTAATCTTGCAATGAGGCAAGTATGTTATTTTTTAACTGAAATGTCTTACGTGTTGGAGATAGCGGGCCAGAAGTCGTAACTGCTAGACCATGTAACGACTATAGAGACTTTAAGCCTCTCGAGCAATACTCAGTAAACATTGCACAATCAACAAACAACTCATTTTGTAAGACGATGTCTTGTTTTAAGTCCTCGTACATAGTTTTTAGCAAAGGAATTCTATAATAAGAGAGACTTATTACATGTTTTACTTTCCCAAATACATTTGGCTTAGGATACCTCATCTTCAATGACGAGAAAAACTCTGCATATTCTAACTGTTACTCTGTGGTCAGTGATCGATTCATTTTGCTGATGTGGTTTTTTACACTTGTTTGTTCTTGTTTGAAGGAGAAAAATAAGTTAAATAAATTAAATTAAAAATAACTCTAATGCGTTTCTCATGGCCAAGACACTTAACTCTCACAGTGCCTCTCTCCAGCCAGCTGTACAAATGGCTTCTGGTAAATTTAATGCTGGGGGTAACCCTGCGGTGGACGAGTATCCTGTCCAGGGGGGAGTGGAAATACTCCCGTCGCTTCGTGCTGCAGAAATCGTGATAAGTTCCGGCCTAATGATGGGCCACTTTGCTCGTGTGCAGGTTATGGCGTTTCTATTTGACGTGCAACTTATTGAGGAAAACGTGGCGCTCTTCCTGGCCGATTTGTTTTTTTTTTTTATCTTCCGTTTTGAATGTCACTCGAGCGCTGGCGCCCAGTCTTTAGCTGATCTGCTTCTTTGGTTTCAGGCACTCGCTGTCTATTTTAAACGTCTGCGGTGTAAAATTGGTTTCATTATTTACTCTGTTCTTGGGGGCCTTGGATTGTAAGGTTTTGACTGTTCTTGCCGCTATCCTATATTGCCTAATCAATTAGACGACGTACCCTCATTTTTCTCTGGGGGAGGGAGTTTCCAACAAAGTTTTATCCTGGAAACGATTCTATTAATCGAGCAAATGATTTTACCAAAATGTTCCGAAATTTTAATCCTAAATTTTATTCCTAAAGTTTTCAGAACGAGCTATTTTAATTTGAAAATCCCTTTTATATACCTAAATAATGGGTTTTAATCGTACCCTTTTCTTTACTTCAACTTATTAAAGCCCTACATTTTTTTATACACCCCATGCCCAAGCCTGAAAAAGATAAAGGAACCCTTTCGTGTGGAGCTTTCCCATACAGATCCTTATAAGAGTGCCCCATCCCTCCGGTCCTATTTTACGAGTGTTAGTCGATTCGGCTGCGTCTGGTTGCTATTTCGTAATAAAATGGCTCGGTATTAGTCTAATTGCTGAATTTAATGACATTAATAGATTAACTTCTGTTCACGCAGAATTTTTGGTCTTCTTTCAAGTTCCTAAAATATAAGGAAACAACAATTTTGGGGTTTGGCTGTGAAGCCTTACAACGGCCTGCAGTTATGCCTTGTTTGATTAGAGGACCATTTGTATGACGAAACGTTTAATTCATATTTAAGAGATAAAACAAATAATCTGAACAACTGAATTCGTGATGATTATAATCCCATAAAATCACAACTAATCTTTAAAGTATTACAGCCCAGCCGAGCGTGAAACAACAGCAATATAAAGCCTGCGACTAAGACAGCTATGAATACTTAATAGGTACAAGATGAATAAAAAGGACTAGAGGACGTGATCGCTCTGGTGAGACTTTGTACTCTTACTGGCGAGAACGTGCAGGCATTTTAGAGTCATTTTTTAAATAATTAGGAGCTGTGGGATTATTTTTCCAAAGCGAGACAAGTGTCGTAATCCTATTCAGAAGCACACACGGAAACTTGGCTAACGACAAATTACATTATCTTGTGCCATGCAGGTCGGCACACACCAAGGGACATGTGGCGAGAACACGAAGCAGGGACATGCTGCAGCGACAGTTTTCCTCGTGTCACAGTCCCGTTTTCGAGAACAATCTGTTACCCGCGACATGTTGCATGAAATTCAGCTGGTTTGAATTCGATGGTCACTGAAGCAGGGACAAAATGACCTCAATTTTCAATGTCGCATAGTGCGCACTGCTCTTGCAAACTGTATCCGCTACAACACATTTTAATGCCAGCATAATGCACCAGCTTGCGTACTGCTCCTGCAACATGCGTCCTTTGTCTACACACAAAAGGGCTTGTTCCGCTTCATAGACGCCGCCGTAACGTATCCCCTAGTGTTTGCCGACCTTAAAGTACACGTCCATTTGCCGCCATTACACTAACAAGCCACTATTCAATAAAAAAAAATCCTAATCCAGAAGCACAGACGCAAACTTGGCCAACGACAAATTACGTTATCTTTTGCCATGTCTGAAGGTCGGCACACACTAGGAGACATGTGGCGAGAACACGAAGCAGGGACATGTTGCAGCGTTACAGTTTTCCTTGTGTCATAGTCCCGTTTTCGAATCATGAGCACCGTTCATGCAAACTGTATCCAATACATGTACAACACATTTTAATGCATCAATCCGCTTCGTGTGCACCAGCTTGCTTACTGC